AAGCCTCACCGAATGTCTCCTTGCTACCGCGACCTCGCCCACAGGAAGCCGCGACCGCGTGGCAGCAGGGAAAATGGCCGCGGATCCGGTTCGTAAGTAGAGGCAAGTTCGTATCCCGAGGTACCACTGTATTATAGTACTGTTAGTAGCCTTCAATATTTTTAATAAAATGTAATAGATATATTTTCCTATTTAATTATAGGGCACTCAAACTAGTAATTCATTATTTTAGTTATTTACTGCAAATATTTTTCTCAGTTATATAAAAGCTTTAAAAATGCTGTATAACTTGGGTACAGATCACCCATATATTCTGGTTCCTTATTAATGCTCTCTTTTAGGTTGCATTTCACAAACCTCAATGGATCAGCTCTAGCCATCAGTGACTCAGGACTGCTGGCCTGCCTAGCAGTGAACTGCCAAAGCCTTGGCTCCATGGCTTCAGCAGCCACATCTCCCCATCCTTTATTTATTTTCTACAGTATTCTAGTATGAAAACTTCCTGAGAATCTAAAACATGTCCAATATTTGGTTAATTTTCAGTTAACTGCTGAACAACTGAGACTATGTACAGCACTCCCAAGATTAACTTAGCCACAGTTTAACCAATTAACCCAATTTTCTTTGTTCCCACAATGAACCATAAGCTTACTATAAGAGATATATCTGTCTGTCAAAGTAAGCTAAATTGTAGTTGCCTAATCTGTGACTCAGAGTCATACAAGCACAGTCTAAAGCTGGTTTATTACTAACTTATTTTTAAATATCATACATTTTTGTCCTCAGGACTTTACCTATTGAGACTTCTCATGTCCAAGTGTTCCATCACAAATAAAGCACCACCTTCTGGTAAATCAATAACTTTTATAGGTTTAGGAACTTTCACTGTCTGTGTTTGTAGAATAGTAGTTAAACTTGCCATTTCTCCATCAAACATTCTTCTGGCCTATCAAATATAATAAGAAAAAGCTATTAAATATTTTCCCCCATATTGAACAGTAGCCCTTTTCTTTTTAATAGTTTTACATTTAAAAACTAATACAGTAATTTTCTCACAAATCACTTATTTTTTCTCAGAATAAATAAGAATGCCATATTGCACAGTTAAATTTATGACCCTGCTGTCAGATTACATTGAAGAGATAAGTGCTAAGTTTTAAAACTGAATGTTTATTTAGTAGATGGGACATTTCTGTAAAACACAGTAGAAAAAGACAGCTTTGTGGAAACATAACTACCCAAAATAGGCAGCTTCTAACAGACAGCAGGAAAAAGGACAAAAGACTAAGAATAATCCACCATTATCATTTGTGAGTCATTAATATATTCCAGATTTTAAAACAACATTATCTACCTGTTTTTGTACAAGTGCATTTAGCTACAATACAATATTATATTCTTGTTCAGTATGTGAAAATTCAAGTTGAAAAGACAATCTAAAAGCTACAGAAAAGGAAGACAATCCTTAAAAAAAAAGATTATATATTTACTAATCTGATGATTCTGCAGATTTTAGACATGCTCTCCTTCACATCTTCAAGGCTGAAATTTCTTATAATGTGATTTCATTCACACAACCAAGGCCTTCTATTTTTTGCTATATTATTTCATTTTACATGCTTATCCACAAGTATAGGAACTTCATTAAATTATTTCCCAATGGATCTCTTTTATTGCATGCTATCATGATCAGGTTTTACTGAACAGAAGATACACTTCAGGGACCAGAAACCTACTGTATTCCCAATTCTTCAGGATTACAGGAATGTGTTCTGCTCACATTCTGGTTTCATTTTCTATTCCTTTCCCTGTCAGGTATCCCTATAAGCCCAAAACAAAGATGATTTTAAAGTTAAGAGGACTCCTTACAAAAGCAAGAGTGGCCAGAATAAAATAAACACAAAACAAGTAATGCGCAATGCCAGCTTCCCTGCCTTGTAAATCTAAGGCAGCCAACTTCAACAAAATCCAAGGCCGGAGATTTCTCCCCATCTCATTAAGGTGTGCAAGAATCACACGTGTATATCTGCACACACATATTGCTAGAAAGAGCTAGTTTGGTATATGGTTACGGCACCAAGCTAGAAACCAGGAGACTCTGATTTCTAGTCCTGCCTTAGGCACAAACCCAACTGGGTGACCTTGGGCCAGTCTCAGCCCTAGGGAGGAGGCAATGGCAAACCACTTCTGAAAAACCTTGCCAAGAAAACTGCAGGGACTTGTCTAGGTAGCCACCAGAAGTCAAAAATTGATTCAAAGACTTGCGTACATAAATAAATGCCAGAAGTTACACTCCAAGAAAATGGGCAATCAGGACAAAAGAATTCAGTTACAGGAATGGAATAACTACTGATTAAAATTAATTGCCTATAAAATGAAATATGCCATTTGTAAAATTAATGGATCTCCTTTGCACATACAAACCACTCACACAAAGATACATGCAAGCTGCACTGGGAAGGAAGGAGAAAAAGAGGAACAAAACTGGACAGAGACAGGGAGTGGGGAAGAGATAACTAGAATGAAACAAACAGAAAACCTATGTAAGTACAAAAAGGATTGAATTCACCAGGCAAGCAGATCTCACAGGCAGCAGCTAAATCTTTAGGCTAATCTACTGGTTCAAATGACCATGGTCCTCTTAGATCTACAGAGTACAAACCCCAGAAATTTACTAATCCATCCCTGGCTTAACACATATAATTGAAATTCAAAGGACTCAACTTTTGCATTTCTGCAGCCTGTGCTGCTGGGAAATCTTCCCAGTGTCCACTGGTCCCAGGAAGTTCTGCCTTCCTGCTTCCTCTCCTGTTATGTTCGTAGACTAGTTTATAGTTCCTACAGCTAACCTTTCTCAAAATCCAACTCTTCAATAGTACTTATCCTAGGGCTGCATCTCAGCTGCACAAATAACCAAATAACTGGATAACCACTAAATGGTGGCCAAGACTCTTCTGCTTAGTTAGCAAAGATCTTTTTAAGAAAAGTTGTCCATCAATAGTACCACAGGAAAAACTCCCAATGCATGGAAGATCTATTCAATCTTCTTGTGATTACTTAGCAAGACAGCACTCTGCTGGTGATTAAAGACACTCCTGTTTATTGTTTCATATCTCACTAGAAACAAAAATTGGATTCAAAGTGCTTAGTACAAACTAAAGAGTTCTTTCACAATTCTTTTAGGCAAATTCAGCAAACTGGTTAAGTAAACCATAATTCAACACTGTGCAACACAACTAAGGAATCTTGCATAAATCTGTATTCTCAAAAACACCCGTTTTTCTGAGCCATAGGTTAGGGTACTATACTGTACTGAACAGGCCCCATGGCCATGTAAGCCACCCAGAGTTGTTCTGGAGTCAGATGGCCTTAAATCTAATAAATATTTTTTTAAAAAATTCTTCACTGCTGAGTTTAAATGCTATCCATCCATCCATGAGTTGGCAGAAAAGTATACCAGCATGAATCTTGCTATCCTACTTCTGTTGCTTCTCTTCCCAGTAATATTTTTTGGGAAGAGACAGTATCTGAATACAGTAGAAAAGACTAATACAACTAAGGACAGCTTAAGCCTGCCTCCTTAATGGCTGGGGACTAGACAAAGGTAACCCTCGAAGAGACACAGCAGAAAAACAGACATGGCCAGGACGTGTTTGTGTGAGAGGTGCAAGTGTGGAAAAGCCTTATGTGTATAGGACATCATGGCTTACTCTATTAACCCAGTTTGCTGGATTTTGTCAACACAAAAAAAATTAATGACAGGCCCCGGGAAAACCCGAGGCCCAGACGAAAAGCATTATGAATACCCCCCCCCTTTTTTTCTTCAGGGCAACACAGGTCTGCCAACCTGCAAGCCCAGAAGAGTCCTCCGTGCATGCCCCTCTCGCGCTCCCTCCGTTGCAAGGAAAAGCCTCGGTTGAGGAAGGTACATTCAGGAGGAGCCTTAGCAGAAAACAAATCTCAACCAACCACCCGGCGTAGGCGCTCCTTCGCCCACCGCGCACGAACCTCTCCTGCCCTCTTCCAGCCTAAGATCCCCGCTACTACCCCGCTTCTACCCCGCTTGTGTCCTCCCACCTCGGCCTTGGCATTGCACTTCACGTAGACCTTCCCGTGATCAGTGTGGAAACTCTCGCCGTGGCTGATGCAGCCTCCCCCCGAGTGCCCCGCAGGCCGCAGCACCGAGGTGCCAAGTTCCCGCCGCAAAGCCGCCTCCATCGCAAGAGGTCCTGGAAAAGCGGGCTACGCTACGACCCCGCACCCCTCCGCGGAGCCCGAGGCACCCGAGAGTCACAAGCCTCACCCCTCCTGCGCTACCCGAGCCACCCACCCCGCCAATTGAAGCGCCACAGCGTTGCTGAGCGCCCGGAAGGGGAAAGCCCGGCTCGGGCGAAGGCGGTGCCTCCGGAGGATCCAGCGGCTGCGTACAGCCCTGCGGCTTTGAGGGAAAGGAAAACGGGCCTTGAACAGTTGCTTTTTGCCTGGGTTCGCATGCGGAACCCAGTTTGTAAAATTATAGTTCGGGAGAAGCCAGAATCCTGGGGTAAAGCAAGAACCCACGGTTAACTTCGTTGGTGAGCATCTTCTGCGACTGAAACGGTTGCATTCACACATCATGCTAACCCACGGCTGTTGAATAAGCCATAACGCATATATCAACTACGCTATAACAAGATGTCTTTACTTTTGCCATGCGTGTGAATCAGGCCTGAATCAAAACACAGCAAACTACATTGTGTGGACCAAAGCTAGTTTCCCTTGTAATATGTTGAAAAATAATACAATATCAAAATCATGAGCAGTGGTAGTGGCAATGAATGTGTCAATTTTAATTTTTAATTGGGTAAATATCGATAAATATAACTCATACAAACGAAAGCTCTTTTGTGGTCCTCCATAATTTTTAAAAGTGGGAAGGGGTCCTGAGAGAGAAAAAAGTATAAGAAACACTAGTTTATACAAACCTACTCTTCTATACATTCATTGCCAGAAATTAAATGGGAAAGGGCCTTTGGATTTCTTTTAAATCACTGAAAACATAAATACAAGGAACTTAATACATTTAAGTCTTTTAAATACCAAAGTTGTGTATTGACAATACTGCTTTCCGAAACAGTAACAGAACCCTTGGTGTTCAATGCGCAGAATAAATACTGTAAACCATTTTCTGGGGACTTTTACCTCAGAAAAATCTTTTCCATGTCCTCTAGCCTGTACGTTTCTTTCGCTCTATTCGTCTATCAGTTATATATATAGGCTGCAACCTCTAACTGTATCTAGACTTCCTATAGCTCTTTCTAAACAGAACACCAAAGAAACCAAGGGACATAATGACTTCACATGATATGTGAATCCAGCTATGTTTGTTGATTCAGTAAGCCTTGCTCAACAAACCATAATGTGGGAAGCTAGAGCAAATTTTACATCGAATTAATATTCTGATTTTTTAAAAAATCTTACTGAAAAGGACAAAGGAATTTGAATTTGTAACAGTTCACTGACTGTGATTGAATTACATTTTTCCATGGTTAACTCAATTTGCATGACATACCTAACCATAAAGTAATACACAGGCTATGTTTACACATCATACCAGTGTAAATTGCCCTTGGGTAGTTTGTGGTTCAAGTTATCCTGAGAACATAACCAATGCAATAATGAGAACAGCCTTTATATCATCTCAGCAATGGCTGGGAGATGCATAAGTCTATAGTGGCTGGTACTAAATTTGCCATTTCCATTGCCAAACCTAATCATGTCTCTATTCCCTCCCTTTTGTCACTGAAGTCACCTAACTTCCCTCCAAAGTAATGGATGAGAAGGTCGAACCAATTTTGTATTATATTAGAATAAGGAGGGGAAATAACTCCTCTAACACTAACATAGCTAAGGACAATTTAAGCCTGTTTCTCTCATGGTCTTGGGACAAGATTAAAACAACATTTGGGAACCTTGCCCTAACCAGGGTAGGGTTAGGTGCAAGTAAGGAAAGGCCCAAGTAAGGAAAAGCCCTTTGTATGTTTATAAATTTATATACTGGCAATATCTTTGTAGTGTAGGGAATTGTCCAGAAGTTATTGTCATGCAAAAATTAGCTAATGAACATGAATATGTCATTTAGGTTCACTGGAAATCAACGTAAGTGCCATCATTGGCAAGGGGAATGCTAATTCTGGATAATTGGAAGACATCTCAGGCACGAACAGTAAATGTCCATCACATCTGCATGTGTCTAAGATGAGATGATTTGTAAATAGTGACTTTAAGCAAGAAGCATATTTTCGGGTCACATACACTTAGTATATTAACCTATAAAATCCTACTGTGATGTATGAGGATATGGGACTGATCGAAGAACTTCATAGCAACTACACCTGACCCAGAGCAGCCCACAAGGTATCAAATCCTCCCTTGCAGATCAATGATAAGATAATAAAAATTACTTCTTTGGTTCTCATTTAGGCATGATGAAATCTTGGAATCTCTTAAAGTAGGTGGGAATCTTTTTGTGCAGTACAAAGCATTCTATAAACCCTCTTCTCATTAAGCAAGCAGCAGAGAACAAGAGAGCCATTTAGGACACATTCTATGCAATAAAGATCTTTTACCCATTGAATGCTACACTGGCTAAAGGGCTTTGAAAGGGCTTTGTTTCGCTGACATAATGCAGTCTGATAATACCTTTCTTGAATAGGGCTAGTGTTTGACAATATATTTCAAATTATTTCTTAATCAATTGCTAAATTCTTATCTTGCCCAAGTCCTATCAGCTACCATTTTTTAAAATAAAACGCTGGTGATGCTACAACATAAAAGAGAGAGGTCAAAATGGACAAAAAATAAAATCAAGAAGCAACCATGAACTACAGATGTAATATGTTATAATACAAACCACAGTTCTCAGATATTTAGAGAATATAATAAGGGATAAGCATGCCTGTGTGCATAATACCTTTATCAATCACTTTATCCTACTTACATAATACATGAAATAAACATCACTCATTATACTGAGCTTCAGCCTAATATTTGGAATATGTTCTTACACTGCTTTCTCCTTTCCTAACAAGGATGCCTTTCTAGTGCACAGTAACATTCCAGAGATATCCTAACTGGTCAACTTGCTGTTTAATTATAGTTTATTTCTGTACAACAGCTGACTTCCTAGCCTGAAATTATTTATGAGTCATTAGTTAACATATACATACCAGCTTTAAAAAAAGACAACAGCTGAGAATTGAAGAAAAGGTAATTGGTATCTGCTGGCTTTAATTTGCTGGTTTTAGATGAGTAAATAGAAAAGTATCTCTTAAGATGCCTGTTGGTATATGCTTATTCTAGAATATTTTAGTATTTTCTTCGGTGTTGCTGGATCAAGTTGAAGTCTAGCTCAGGGGGGCTTTTTTAACATACTGTTTTTCTAAGTACAGGAAGTTCATTCAGAGATGGATTTCATTGTATTGTTCCACTGTATAAGAATATATTTATTTTTAACATATAAATAAGATTTAGACTAATGTGGTAAATTAAGATAGGTCTGCTAATTTCTACAAGTGAATTTTCTCATGAATCCAAAACTCACAATGGTTAAAGCTGGAATCTCTGTCTTCCTGTCCAACATTTCACCTGGAAATTTTAATACAGCACAGATTTGGTGTCATCTTTTATTGTTTCTCTTCTCCCCATCTTCATTCAATTATATCTAGCTGCTGCTTTCTTTACTGTGCTGGATGTTCTTCTGTCCTATACCAGTTCTGGCTGCAGTAGTGATTAATGCTGGATTGTTACCTTGTGCTTTGACTACTACAATCTTCTCTCTGGCCCTCAAGGTTACAGAAATTTCCCATTTTTCTAACTTTTTTTTTTAATGTCTTCAAGTCATTGTTGACTCCTGGCCTAGTCTCTCTAATTTTCTTGGCAAGATTTTGGATCTGGTTTGCCATTGCCTTCTTCCTAGGACTGAGAAAAAGTAACTGGCCCAAGGCCACCAAGCTGGCTTTGTGCCTAAGGTAGGACTAGAACTCACAGTCTCCCGGTTTCTAGCCTGGTGCCTTAACCATTACACCAAACTGGCTGTCTCTGACATATAACATCCTGCCCCATCACTACAATTGCTTCTATTATTTCCCATTCTTATTTTCAAATCAGATCTTGCAGATCTGAACTCCTGACTTTTGCTTTTCTGAAATGGTGTTCAGATAACACATTAATGCATTGTCAATTGAACCATGTCCTCCTGAATCAATCCAGTTGCTGACTTTTGCACACCACTAGTCAATTACATATCAGCATAGTATACTAACCCAACCAATGAAGTACCATTAATCATCATCCCGATTTGTTCTATGAAGTAGTCTCCTCCATTACACACACATTTATTTTATAAATCAATGTAGAAAGCAGCATTCTGGGAAAAATGTGTTCAAAACTTATGTTTTTATGGTATTGTGATATTTACATCAGAGTAATGCATACATAATTGTTCAGTCCAAGGTCAAGAAGCTAAAACAATTTTTATGTGATCGAAATAATGATTAACAATATCACAGTTAAACAAGTTATGGTTTAATGTGATATATGTCCCCAGTCAGAGCTGGCTTCACGCAGTGTAATCAGTTAAAAAGTGATTTTCCTTGTTTATGGCTTAACATAGTCTGCAAGTGATGACGGTTTTAAAACAAGGTTTACAGTTCAAATTTGCTAATCCCAATCCTGATAGCATCGTACATTTCATATCTTGTTTCATCGTACTCTTTATTTCGCTGAATTCGGATGCAGGACAATTCTGTTAACCAGAGCTCGACGTTCGAATCGGACGGAGCCATAAACCACGTTCACGTTCCCTTTTACAACACACGCCTCGTCCTCCAATGTGTAAACACAGCCGTTCCACACCTCTCGCTCTGTGACGGATACACGTGCCAACCAATCATGAGTAAGAAGTACCCCAGCAACTGAACTGTGGGGCCTCGAGGGGTGGGTCTGTGCCCACCAATAACAAGAGAACCTGGAATCCTGGGGTCCCGCTGACCAATAGGTGAACAGCTGCCTGTTCTTTTCCAATAGCAGAACCAATGGGCGTGGCCGCAAAACCCTTGCTCCAATGGGAGCAAGGGGTGCGGATTGGTCGGGACAGTGTGACAGAGCTGCGCTCGGGTTGTAGCAACAACAACAGCCACAGCTATTGCGACAGCAGGCGGGAGAACCAGCCGCCGTCTCGGAGAACACGACGGCGCCCTGCACAAGGGCTCCCGAGTCTCCCTCGGTCGCGGCTTGTCACAGCGCTACTCATGCGCTGTCATGACCGGTTCTTCCCGCCCTCCCCAATTTCGGTGCGACTAGCAGGGCGGTGGATTCAGGGCACGACTCTCGTCGATTCCTGCTCGCTGAGGGCAGCGCGAAACAATCCTGCGTGGCCAGTTCGGGCGCGCTACCCCCGATGGCGCCGCTGGAAATTCGTCCTTCCTTGTCTCGGCCCCGAGGACGCCCGTCGAAGCCCTCCCGTTCTTGCCTCCCACCGCTGTCACCGTGAGAAGACGCTTCCTCCGCTTCCTCGTCGCCGCCACTTTTCCTTATCCCAAGCTTGAGGGTCGTGATACCGGCAGCCCATCGTGACTCCTCCGCAGGGTGGTCTTGAACATGCCTTTGCTCACGTGCTGCTGCTCCTCGTCTTCCCCTGTCCTTGGCGGCACAGCTGGTCGCTCGGTGCCCCTCGTGGGCGCTGGGAGCTGATTCTCCGCAGAGACGTGGGGTTGGGGTTGGGTTGAGAAGATGAACCACGTGGGCAGCCCTGTGAAAGCTTATGACTTCTTGCTAAAATTCCTCCTGGTGGGGGACAGTGACGTGGGCAAAGGAGAGATACTAGCTAGCCTAGAAGATGGAGCCACCGAATCTCCATATGGATACAACATGGGTAAGTAAAAACGTGAATGGTACAGGTGTCCACTGCCAGAGTCTGAATCTTGGGTGGGGGCAGCTCTCTCTCCTTTTACCTTTCTCCAACCCCACCCCACTCTACACCTGTAGATTACATAGGGAGGAAGGCAGTGCTCAAGTAGGACTGTCTTGATAGCTGAGTCACTACAGCTAACTCCCACACCTTGGCAGATTCGGCTTAAGACTTGCATGTTAAAAACCTTTCTTCGCAGCTGCCCTGATGCCTTTCCTTTAGAAATAAAAATGCCGGCCCATCTGTTGCTTGGTGGCTAATCTGACATTTACTTTTGTTAAGTTTTGCTACTGATAATACTGAATTGTCTTTTCCTCCATCTTAAGCTTGCTCTTTTCATGTTTTCTTTCTTCCCTGACTTGGCAACAGTAAAGACAGTAAGGAACAATATGCCTTTTTAAACTCAGAAAATAATTTAAATTATTTGCAGAAAAGCGCAAACAACATAGGAAGCATCATTGTTATGCCCTAATAAGTATGCTGCATGTAAGTGTGTGTGTGTATATATAACAATCAAAGTGTAACTACATTTTCTCTCATTTTCCTCTCTTGAAGAAAGCTTGTTTGTCAAATGGAGGCTGTGGACTTGGGAATTCAGTGAGAAAAGAATAAATACAAAGGCTGTGTCAAACCATAAAATCATGGTGTTGAAATGCACTATTTCGGCCATCAAATTCAATTCAAATGAAAATATTTGCAACAAATGGCTGTAGTCTTTACTTGAACACATTACTAAAGGGGAATTCACTACCCTTCTGGGTAATTGGTTCCATTATTAAACTGTTTTACTATCAAAAAGTTTTTTCCAACATTCAATTGGAATCTGCCATCCTGTAACTTAAATCCATTATTCCGTGTTCTGCATTCTGGAATTAATACAAAATAGGCCTTGACCTTCCTTAGTGAGATCTCTTTTCAGCATACTCTGGTTTCCCTTCAGATTGTATCAATTTCCCCCCTTTTCCTTTCAGCTATTTGAAGACTGTCATCCATTTTTGGTCTTGTTTTCTCAAAGCTAACCAGTTCCAATTCCTTCAATCTGTCTTCAGATGATTCAGTTTCTAGTTGCCTGATCATCCTTGTTGCCCTTTCTGTTCCATTTCATCTGCATCCTTCTTAAACTGTGCCTAGAACACACCTGATGTGGGGGTCTGACCAATTTATTTTAAATTGAAAGTATTGCTTCCTGCAATTTGGAAACTGTACTTCAGTTGATGCCATCTAAAATTGCATTTGCATTTTTTGGTAGCCACATCACTCTGTTGACTCATATTTAGTTTAAAATCAACTACAACTCCAAGATCATTTTTACAAATACTGTTACCAAGCCTGGTAATTAATTAATTAGTCTGTATTTCCAGATAATTTTCTATTAAACTTCAGTCCTGCTCCTTTCCTCATGTTCTTTACAGTTGCCTAGTGGAATACATAATCTGTCTTTGGAGAACATCATGCCAAAGTAGTAATTCACTAGCTCTGCATTTTCTTCACTACCTGGTAACATTTTTCTGCTTCACTGAGCAGGTGGTATACATGCTTTTTTCTTCTTTATTTGAACTTCTCTAAATAAGCCATTTTTGTTGTTCTTCCCATCCTTTGTTAACCTCAGCTAATTCTGAGCTTTAGCTTCTTGACATCATCTCTACAGTTCCAAACTACCCTCTTTTACTCTTTCTTGCTGGTTTGTTCGTCTTTCCACCTTTTGTTTCTTGTTTTATTTTCAGATCTTCACTAAGCCTGTTTTGCAGCCATCTTGGCCTCTTCCGCTGTCCTCCAATTTCTTTTTGTACTGCAGTTGTTTGTACTGTAGTTGTGCTTCTTTTAAGGAACCCCACCCATCTTTTCATGCCACAGAATCCTAGTTATTATTATTGGTTTGAGTTTATTGCAAATCAGCATCCAGTTTTTTAAAAGTCTAGCTACATGTTTGCTCAACTTTGGTTTTCTTTAAAATCAGTAACTCCAGTACTACATTGTCACTTTCCCCCAATATTCCCTCTAGTTATCTAAAGGCTTTTCCCTACTATTGAGTTAAAGTGCTATCTACCCATCCTTGAATTGGCGGAAAATTATACCAACATGAAATTTGCTGCCCCCACTGCGTATCTCTATCACCTGACTCACTGAAAAATGGTGCTATCTTAATTGTGTATGTTGTGTATCATAAGCAAAACAACAGAATCCTCTGTTTTTGCTGTTCTCCCTCTTCACATAACCAACCAGGAAGAAAAGCATTCACCAGTCAAGGCACTATGGCAGAAATTGACAAGGTCTGATTGCTGGACTCTGCTCATCTGTAGATTCCTTCCTCTGGTCCTTGTCTTAACCCCATTCTGTTGTAATCCCAACTGAATAAATTTTAAAGCAATTGAATTCAGGGGACTGAGTCACATGCAATATTTTTACTAAGGATTTCTCTCCCCTCCCTTTCCTTTCTTTGCATAGGCAACAAAAGCCAATTTCCAGGTTCCTCTGTATTCTAGCCAGGAAATAACAGGGATGGTCCCATCTTCATTACGCTAGTTCAGCTTTGCACTAACCTGGTGAGGCTGTAGAATTAACACATTTATGGCACTGTTGGCTGCACAGTTAGCTGTTGAGCAGTTCTGATAGCCACTGGCACAGAATTGCTATGTCTAGCACTTTGAGGAGACAAGAATAGAACAGCGGTTGATGAGGCTAACCAGGGCCTGAAGAAGAGGTGACATACATCAGCTTGAAATGGCTAATAAGCACCATTATTGGCCATGTGACTTTGCCCTCAGTGTAATGAGCGGAGAAGTACAACAGATATTACACACCTTGCGGCTGTTACTGGATGCTGTCAGATCAAGAGGCAAACACTGCTTTAACCCCTGTACAGCTAAGGACAACTTATGCCTGTCTCATTCATGGGCTGAGGTGAAGTCAGTGTCATTAGGACAGAGCAGAAGAATACATCACAGGATCTTTGTGCCATGGCTAGCTGCAAGTGAAGATGCTGCTTAAATCTTCCCTATTTTTATTTATTAAATTTGTATGTCACCCATCTCCCTCAGAGATGAGTGACATACAAATTTAATAAATAAATAAATAAATTGTGGCAGATGATTCCAGAGGCAAAATCTTGTGAGATGTCCTTGTGTCAGATGATACCAGGTGCAGATCTTTCCTAGCATCATTATTATACCCAGTCATTTTATTTGAAATGTAAATATATTAGCTAAGTAGGAAATAGCTGTACCATTAGAAGTTCCTTACCTTAGATGTTTCTGATTAATGGATAGAAATGTTACAATGCTCGTGTCCCTAAAATAAATTAATTTTCCATTCACATTAAGTAGCAAGGAGAGGGGAGATGCAATGTCTTGCTCTACATTCAGTCTTGAAGAAGTGAATTATTAATCTATTCTGGCTCTTAGTTCCCTACCAGCAATCCTCTGCCAAAAAACAATTTTGGAAAGTTGCTTTTATTAAACAAGGATTAGAAATTAAAAATGTTACCAAAACCCGAATACTTCTCATTTCTTGGCAGTACAGAAACAGATGGTATTACACATTGTGCTAAGCCATACTGTGATTTTGGCTTATTCACTAAGCTTTACTGTGATGTCTGAATGTTTGTACAGCATTGTTATAATGGCAGGGATAGGCAACCTTTTTGCAGCTGGAGAAATACTTTTTTTTTTATGTTTGATGTTGGGTGGGCATAGGGAGTGAAGTAATCTATAATGCATCTTTGTAGAACAATTTTTTAGATTTTTTGTTTTAGGTTTATGAGTTAGCTATTTAAGATAACGGTAAGTCTGTCCAGAGGCTTAATGCTGTTTGTTTGTTTGTTTGTATTTCCACTGAAAATTGAAGAGATATTGTACTGCCAGTGTCTTGTGATTTGCTGCTAAATTTTGGTAGCCCAGTCCCAAGGGCTCAGGAATTGCATGCAGTAAATTGGTGTTATGTGTGAACAAGGCAACTATGGCTAATTCACCAAAGCTCATTAAAACAATGTGTGAATTTTACATAGTATAGCTCTTAAAGCTATCTGATTGGTTTTACCAAACAGAGTGAAGAATTTACCACAAGCATGTTTTTTAGTCAGCTGACAGAGTACTTCAACATTTCTATTCTTCTGTACAATCAGCCAAGGAAGATAAGAGTCAGAATGCTTTTAAAGCGAGTGTAAGGATAAGTATAGTACAAGACTATAAGAATTCTATCAAGTGTTTCTGAAACACAGATATGGATTGGACGAATATTTTTGGCATTGACACTGGAACATTTATTTTTAGTTCCTTCATTTAACCTGTTAAAGAATGAGAAGTACAAATCACATCACATGCAGAAAACCAGAACATTTATAGATATTGATTCAGAATGAAAATAAATTTGATTGCACTTCTAGGCTCTTTTCAGCTGAGTTGATTATTGCCACTGGTTGCACCCATCAAAATTAGCAGGAGGCTGTTTGCTGACTTCTGTATTAACAGTATTGTACCATCCAGCTGAAAAATATTGTGCCATATATACTTAGAGGACAAAAAACAGAGGGACACTTTTTTTTCTTTTTGACCACTTTCGCAGAACATTCTTATGTTATTCTTTTAATAATATAAATTCAGCTTCCTATTTATTTATTTATTTATTTATCTGTTTCTTTGATTATAGTCTACCTTTCTGTCAGTGAATGCCACATAAAGTAGCTTCTTATGGATTTATGTTGATTGTTACCCACACAAATGTACTGGTGCTAAAAAGGGCTTTAAATGGCATTGTTGAGGACTTTGGTTGACAGGTTATCTGAAGCTCCTGGTTATGGTCCCTAAGGCATAATATGGGAAAGTAAAATACCAATCCAGTACCCCACATAGGATTCTGCAAACTGTGATAACAGTTCTCGAGAAGGTATAGTGATAGCTACCAGCCTGGATGACTTTAAAAGATGACTAGACACATTTTGGAAGATAAGGCTACCGGTGCTTCTGAAT